AATACAAAATATTAAGAAAAGTGAGAATTATCCGTTCATGTTCCTCTTCGGAAGTGGTTCTTTCCCAATCCATCCTGCACCTGCACCGTTCCACATGCAAGGGCGGGCAATTATACCTTTAGTTGTTATATGTCAATAATACATTTAATAATTTTTAATAATTCTCTTATTTTGTTTTGTTGGATTGGTTTTCAGGTCGTTCCTGGATTGGAGAAACTATCCTTGATAAGCAATGACATTGAAATGATATGTAACCGCCCATTTCCAGAAAACATCTTTTTCCATGTTAAATCTCTTGAAGTTCGCTGTATTCACGGTGATTCAGCGGCTTTACCAATCTTCTTCCTCGAAAGGTTCTGCAATTTACAAAAGCTTCAAATATGTTGTTCTGATATCAAGGAGTTGTTCCCACCTGTAGCATCCATTGATTCTTTGGAAAAAGATGTGGGAGGACGCTTGCATAAGATTACAAAGTTGGAGCTGAATCAACTTCTTAAGCTTAACTATATATGGAAACAAGGCCCAGCATCAAATTTACTCCTTCAAAATGTTAAATCTCTTAAAGTGCTGCTTTGTCACAGTTTGATCAGCTTATCAGAATCTACAGCATCTTTCCAAAATCTCACCACTTTGTCGGTGGAAAGCTGTGAAGGGTTAATAAACTTATTTTCATTTGCAACAGCCCAAAGTCTGGTGCAACTCCAAAGTATAAGTGTAGAAAATTGCCACTCTCTGACAGAAATAGTTGGAGGAGAAGGAGTTGGATTAGCAGATGTGATTGTTTTCAGCAAATTAGAAGTTTTGAAACTCAAGCGCTTAACAAGACTCGCAAGCTTTTGTTCAACAAATTTCACAAATTTCACATTCAATCTGCCATTGTTGGAAGCACTAATGGTGGTTCAATGTCCCAAGTTTGAGACCTTCTGTCGCGGAGTCGTGAGGACTCCAAGCCTGCAGAGAATATTTACACAACAAGACGACGAAGGACGGGAGGTGGTTGAGCTGAATAGTACCATAAATCAATTGTACAACGAAAAGGTATGAATTGAGCCATAAATGATCCTTATCTCTAAACTGTAATTTTCTTTCATCAAACAGAAGATAAAGCTATTGCTTCTTTTTCCTTTCTTTTCATTTTTATCAATTTTTTTTTTTGAACAGCAAAAAATTTATTGAAAAATGGAGTACAAGGAATACTCCCAACCCATTTACATCAGTATTGTAATGCCTCATTTTTATCTGTGGGTTTATTTGGATTCTTCTAATATATAAAAATTGCTAGGTTGGATATGCTGGGTTACAAGATTTGAACCTATCAGAGTTTCCTCAGTTAATGGAAGAATGGAACAAGAATCCTCAACAAATCTTGGATTTCACATGCCTTCGTGTCCTCAAAATTTGTAACTGTGATAACTTGAGATACCTCTTAACTCCTTCCATGGCATTGAGCCTTGCTGATCTCCAAACGTTGGAAGTACAAAACTGTGAAATGATTGAGAAAATAATAACAGAAGAGGGAAGTACGGAGGTAGCAGAAAATAAGATGATATTCCCTCTGCTAGTCACCATTAATCTGGGGTCATGTTTCAACTTAACAAGTTTCTGTTCGGCAAGTTATGGACTTGAGTTTCCATCTTTGTCAAAGATGCATATAATTGATTGTCCAAAGATGGTCACATTTGCTTCAACATTTTCAACAGTGCAAGTGAGGGAGGCAGTTAACGGAGGAAGTAAAGAAAGGACTGGCAAGCAATATGCTGATATCCCTGCCGAGCCCTTTTTCAGTGGTCAGGTCAGTAATTTCTTCACGAAGAGTTTTTCTCTACGCATTTTAGGTGCTTTTCCTGCGCTTGTATGGAGTACGTGCAAATTTGGATTATTCAACTTCAACTATCAATATAAGTAAATTTACTTATGGTCAACTAATACATTTATTTATGATTTCATTAATTAGGTGGCTAAAACTAAGTGAATTCAGAATTCAGAAGTCAATATTCTCTATCTTTTATGGATTAATTGAAATTAAGTCTTACCATAAAAAATGGATAAAATATAACTCTCTTCTGCATTGAACTAGGATGATTTCCCCTTCCAGAAAATGAAGGAATGGATGCAAAGTTGCGCTTAATTAAGCCCCCTTTTAACTCCTAATTATGGTTAAAGGACAAACAGATTCATTGATAATGATTTCGCTTGAACGTACATCTTTGTAAGACATTCTTTTGAAAGAATTTTAATTACGCGACTTTTATCTTTGTCGTATTAATTAATGTGAAGTCATTTTTCGTGTCATTGCTTTGGAATCATTAATGATGAAATTTTTAATACTTTTTAATAAAAAAATGTATTCATGAAGTTAGAATTGTATTTTGCAGGTTGAGTTTTCCAGCTTCCTGCAGTTGAAACTGTCCTTAGTGAACATGCAACAAATATTCAACAAACAACTTTCAGCAATGTCTTCTGTCATTCAGAGTGTAGGATACTTGACTGTATTTGGATGTGATAATTTGAAATATCTATTTACCTCCTCAATGATTAAAAGTCTGGGGCAACTCGTATTGCTATCGATTCATAATTGTAAGATGATGAAAGAGATAATAGTGACAGAAGGAATAGCAGAAGAAGAAGAAATCATGTTTCTTCGTAACCTTGAAACACTAAGGCTTGAAGGCCTTCCCAAACTCACAAGATTCTGCCATCGAAATTGCTCAGAGTTCCCCTCCCTAACAAAGCTTGCTCTACTCAAGTGCCCTTTGTTGGAGACGTTCATCTCTAGTCCTACCATTGGAGACACAAGTCACGTGACAACAAGTAAAAATGGAGAAAATGCTTGTAAATCACCTCTATTTGATGCGAAGGTGATTCTTTTGCATGTTTTAATTCCCTTTATTTTCCGTTTTTCATGTCTTAGAATACTTACTTGCATTTTGTCTTCAACTTTGTTAATTGATTTTGA